AAGCAGTAAACACCTGACAGCACCCGCCTCCAGGTAGGCTACTGCTCGCTAATCTCCCATTGGTGTGAAGCACAGAGACCACGAAGAAGATAAACAGGTTGCTTACCAGTAACTGGTGATCTTTGAGTGGTCATCTGTGCATTCACACCACCCGCCCTCCTGCCCCGCTGCTGTCTTCTACCTTTTTTATTAGGAGATTGATACGCGGCGGTTGGTAGGAACTGGCGGGATGTCCGTGCCTGCCCTTCTGGGCATGCTCACTGGGGCTCCTGAGCATGCTCAGTTGGGCCAGGCACGAAAATCCTTTTAAGAGAGCTTGCTAGGCACCGGCAGATCCAGCGCAGGCGCACTAGATCCCATTGGTGTGAATGCACAGATGACCACTCAAAGATCACCAGTTACTGGTAAGCAACCTGTTTTTATAAACTGGGCTTGAGGCAGCTCTTTCTCAACAAAGTGATTTCTTTTATTCACCTCAGACCAACCCAGTTGACCAATACAGTCAAGAGCAGTCAAAACCACACCTCCTAAAATAGTAATAACCAATCATAATAAACACTACAGAATACCTTATTTGCATTCCCTGCTTCACTCTAGTCTTCCCTGATTGGTCTGCCAATTTAGGCGGCCAATCAGAGCAGGTGCTACATAATCCTAGAAAGCAATAGTATTTAACACAAGGCTCAGGCATTAGCTGCATTCAATACAAACACCTCTTCATATTGAGAACCATTGACAGTAATTCCCTCCAAAACTATGTCATCTCCTGATTGGTCTGCTACACTCTAACAGCCAACCAAAAGGAAGATCTCAGGATCCTTGCAGACTATGAAGTTTGGCACGAAGCTCAGGCTCAGTAACAATACATAACACCTCCAAAGAAGGAGAGCCCACCACCTCCAGAGGAAGCCTGTTCCACTTTTTGCATCATGTGCAAACTTCAGGCACATTTGAATAGGAAAAAAAAATATTGCTAAGTGAAACTAGTATCAGGTTGCATCTTGAGCCTTCATGATGCATGTAGAATGTTAGTTTCCCCCAAAGACTGAGATGGTGCAAGACAAGGAAGTGTTGGAGGTACAGAGCATAGGAAGGGCCAGGGCTTTCTTTGTAGAAAAAGCCCAGCAGGAACTCATTAGCATAATAGGCCACCCTCAACCACAGAAACTCATTAGCATATCCAGCCACACCCATGATACCATAGCTCATTAGCATATTAGGCCGCACCCCCGTGTTACCAGAAGTGTGGTTATCCAGCCACACCCACTTTTTGCTTCTTATTCTGTTTACCTTGTTTGTTGTCAAAACCCAGGGCTTTTTTTGTAGCAGGAACTCCTTTGCATGTTAGGCCACACCCCTAATGTAGCCAATCCTAATCAGTTTCTGCTGTTGGGTGTGGCCTATTGTGCTAATGAGTTCCTACTGGGCGTGGTCAACTTGGGAGCCAGCCGGAACTCCGTTCCTGTGCGTTCCTGCCCAAAAATAGCCCTGGGCAGGTTGCAGCAGCATCATTTAATGTCAGAGTTGCTATGTAGCACTGCTGAACAGCAGCTAAAAAGGAAGAAATTGCTGTATATTTGTTGCTTGATAATAGCAAGCAGCCACCAAAACGGGTTTGTGTATGGGGAGAGAGAGATGCAGTTAATACAAGCTTCTAGAAGACCCAAACTGCACCATGCAATTTATAATATCAGATTTCAAAACTACTTTCTGCAAGCTTTTCTACTGTCATAAAGAGGGCTGCTTCCCTTCCACACTGCAGCCCCTTCCCTTGAGCCTTTTTGACCCAGTAGATTCCACAATCCCTGGCACTACTTTTTAGACAAACAAACAGGAACCTTCCATCCCCTGGTGAAAGCCAATCATCAGCAGCACAGTTCTCTGTCACATTAGATGAAACGTTAAGTAACTCAAAGAATACAAATCAATAAAGCACTGCATGATATCAAAACAAAATAAATACAAGAATCAAACAGTTGTATGTCAAAAATAAAACAGGATTAAACAGTCATCTTCTTAATTTTAAAATCTAATTCAGCTAAACCTTCTGAATAGAAAAAAGGTCTTGACCAGCCTCTTAAAAGCTAGTATTGGATAGTATGTGAATCTTCCTAAGCAGGAAATTCCTGCATTGAGAAGGCTCTAGGAAAAGGGCTCTCCTTGCTTTGATTGGTCCTAGGTATTGATGGTTGGGAATAATACTACTGTTGGATTGAGGCAGGAAGGTTATGTTGGGGGTAAACAAACAGAGGTCCTGTGACCAGGGGTCATTTCCTGCAGGAGCGCACAGGAGCGGAGCTCCGGCAGTAAGGAGCCCAGGGGGCAGGCAAATGCTACAAGCCCCACCCCCTGCTCCCAGCAGCCCTCAGTTGGGCCATGAGGAGCAAAAAGCAGCCAGGTAAGTTGCAGAGCTCCCCCCCCCAGCCTGCCTTCAGGTACAAGCTCTCCCTCCTCTGCGAGGGCAGATCTGATTGTGTGAACTTAGGCAGATCATGAGAGGGAGGGCAGGAAGGGTTGCCTCAGTGCTTAGTTCTTGTGGCCCTTTCTTACATGCCCAGGGAAATGCCGATTGACACTTTGGGGTCAGGAAGCAATTTTTCTCCAGGCCAGTTTGGCTGGAGATCCTGGAAGGTTTTTTTTTCTTGCCATCTTCTGGGCACGGAGCAGGGGTCACTGGGGTGTGTGTGTGTGGGAGGTAATTGTGAATTGGATTAGATGACCCTGGAGGTCCCTTCCAACTCCATGATTCTACTTTTGAGTGATGCTTCCTTTACCACAGAAACGAGGGGAAATTCCAAGAGCACCACTATGTGGAGATCATTTTTTCTCTCTTGTTTCTCACTTCTGTGGAGGAGGGAGCAGGGGTCATTTCCTGCAGGAGCACCCAGGAGCAGAGCTCCAGCAGTAAACAGCCCAGGGGGCGGGCACATGCGAAAAGCCCCACCCCCTGCTCCCAGCAGCCCTCAGTCAGAGCAAGAACCAGCCAGGTAAGTTGCAGAGCTCCCCCCGCCCCCCCCAGCCCAAAACAGTCCAGTGACACCTTTAAGACCAAGTTTTATTCAGGTACAAGCTCTCCCTCCTCTGTGAGGACAGATCTGCACGTCCCCCCCCCAATAGCTAGCAATCCTAACCAGTCCAGTGGAGCCTGAGCGGTGGGTGCCGCCTTCTGACACACTTCCGGTGATGTCAGGGGGTGTGGTGTATGCAAATAAGTTATGGTAATACGTTATGCTAATGAGCTCCTGCACCTCTTTTTTTACGAAATGACCCCTGGGAGGGAGATTGGCGCTGGGTAAATCCCGACACTGTGTGGGTAAACGACAAGCCCACAAATATGTGTGCCATCTATTAGATGGTCCCCCCTTCCCTCTTGCTTAACCAAATGGAAGGGAACCTCGTCAATCCAGCTTTAGCATTCAAGTGCAGCCATGAACCCACACTTGATCAGGCCAGGGGACGAAGAAGAAGAAGAGATTGATTTAAAAACAGAAGATAAAATGAAATAACCTTTTGCTTTTCTGTCCACCCTTCCAAAGTCAAGTCTTCTCGGGCTCCATTAAATTCGGGAGTTTTTTAAAAAAACAACAACCCAGTTATAAATTGAACATATGGAGAACCGTGTCTTTTCTTAAAGTGATGTTTCCTCTGCTTAATGGATTTGGCTATGGCCGGGAATCAGGCAGAAGCTGTCTTAACTAAATCTTTGACTGATTATGCATTTCTGTCTCTCTCACTCCCCCCCCTTCCCTTCCACTATCCATACAAGATAGATTCATCATTCCAATTTGTCAAACTGGCGAGGTTCCAATTAATTACGCCCGGGAAAGCTCAGGCTGCATTAGACCACTGTCAGGCCTAATCTAGTGCTTCATTCACTGCAGCCTCAAATGAGGAGATATCAGAGGTGTTGTACTTCGGGGTACTTAATTTGATGAATGCCCTGGCAGCACAACTGGCGTCCGGGCAGTGTGCGAGCCTGTCTTTTTTATCTGCCACTACCGGAGAAGGAGTCCGCTTTCTACTACTAATTTGAGGGCTCATCTGTACGGGAGATTTCTTTTTCTGGAAGCAGAGGTGGGTAGGGGGAGAAGGATCAGGGCCTGTGTTTCTCTGTGCGCGCTCTTTGTGGATGTCTTGCAAGATTTCCCGGGAGCATCGATACAAGAGTGCCCCCAGAGCTATTTTTGGGCAGGAACGCACAGGAACGGAGTTCTGGCTGGCTCCCAAGTTGGCCACACCCAGCAGGAACTCATTAGCATAATAGGCCACACCCAACAACAGAAACTCATTGGGATTGGCTACATTAGGGGTGTGTGGCCTAACATGCAAAGGAGTTCCTGCTACAAAAAAAGGCCCTGGGTTTTGACAACAGACAAGGTAAACAGAATAACAAGAAAAAGGTGGGTGTGGCTGGATGACCACACTTCTGGTAACATGGGGGTGTGGCCTAATGTGCTAATGAGTGGTACAGTCAGGGGTGTGGCCTAATATGCTAATGAGTTTCTGCTGTTGGGTGTGGCCTATTATGCTAATGAGTTCCTGCTGGGCTTTTTCTACAAAAAGAGCCCTGCCTGTGACAATTGGTCAAGAACAAGTGGTCCTGTGACAAGAGGTCCAAGCTTGATTTTAAAGCATGTTACTTTCTTTGGGTGCTAGAAACTCAGGCAATGTGTACTGGGAGGTGTGGGCTCCATTGGGTTCATATCATGCTTGTCTTCACTGACAAGACAAAGGTAGTCTTTCTCTGTTCATTTTGCAGCTCTATTCTGATATATGCCCCAAGACATGCAAGAACTTCCAATGTTTGTGCACAGGGGAAAAAGGGCTGTCTAAATCTGGGCTGGCACTCACTTACAATGGTTCTATCTTTCATCGACTTGTCAAAAATGGATGGATACAAGGAGGAGGTGGGTTTTAGAAGCTAGAAAACAAAGGTAGCTTTGATGGCTCAGTATGTATAACTGTTCACCAACCCGGGAAGGGGGGATCATATTTGATGATTATATTATTGTTTATTTATGTATACCTCACCTTCCAACCATAGTTTTTAAGGTGGTTTACAGTCTAACTGCCCTGACCAGGATAGCCCAGGCTGGGTTGATCTCATGAGAGCTTGGAAGCTAAGCAGGGTCAGTCCTGGTTAGTACTTGGATAGGGAGACCACCAAGGAAGTCTGGAGTTAATATCCAGAGGCAGGCAGTGGCAAACCACCTATGAATGTCTCTTTTCTCTGTGAGGTTGCCATAAACTGGCGGTGACTTAACAGCAAAAAATAAATAAATCCAGACTATCCAAAAATCCAACAGTGGCCCCAGTCACACGTGCCAGAAAATGCAGGGGGGGGGAGGCGTGGCTATTTGCGGCGACGCAATTAGACCCATGACAACACAATCAGACACGTCAGCAGCAAACCACAGTTCCGTCCCTTGGCGCGTGCACTTCAGGAGGAAGGAGAACCAGGGCTAGTTCCCAAGGAAGAAAAAAGAAAAAGATATCCTTGAGAAAAAGATATGCTTGAGAAAAAGATATCCTTGGGAGAAAAAAACCTACTCTGGAATCCGCACAGGTCAGTAGCAGTGTTCCCTATAAGCTGAGTTAGTGTGAGCTAGCTCACAGTTTTTTAGCCTCCAGCTCACACGTTTTTGTCTTAGCTCAGGAAGGATGGCTCCAGAGCAAACTAATTTATGCAGTAGCCAAATCACTCACTCACAACTTTGATGCCAGTAGCTCACAAAGTAGAATTTTTGCTCACAAGACTCCACACTTAAAGGGAGCATTGGTCAGTAGGAACTGCACAGGTCCAGGAGAAGGAGGATGAAAAGGGCCCGGGTGAAGGAGGTGAGAGTACCTGGCCGACACTTGCTAAGCACTGGGAAGGAGAGTAGCCAGCCAGGCCGAGTTCTCTACAATGGGTAGAGACACAAGACTCCACTGGACAGGGCAAGAGGCATTCTTAGCCAAGAGGCCACATCCACCACTGGCCAGACCTGGGTGTCCTAGCTACTACTAGCATTAACCTAGCTGCTACTAGCATTAACCCTATCAGAAGATGAGGTGGTCCAACCAAGACCAGGTCAAGGACCTCAGCAGGGGAAGCTGGTCTAAGAACCTGGGTGAAAGCAGGTGGAGGTAATTGGGTACAAACCAAACAGACTGCAGGGTGACTGTTAACCTTGGAACTGAGCTAATCAATAAAATGGGCAACTTTAGCAGCTCTTGAGTGGTGACTCATCTTTGGCCACGTGGCTATACCATGGTACATCCCTGGGAAGATGGGGTCTCTGTACAGGGGGAGAGGGGCATCACACATTTCTTTGCATACACAGATCTTGTCCTTCCATCGAAGTGACTGGTGCCTGTGCGCACTAGAGCTCTGGATAAATGCGGAAGTTCTAGATCAAACAATGGTTGCCCACATTATTATTTCTTCCTCCCAAAAATAGTTTGACAAGAATATTTTAGGAAAAGCGTTTTAAAAATTATCCAGTAATATTAACATACAAGAATCATTTATGCAAATGTTACTATCAAAGCATCTTGGCCAAACACCACCAAACCTAAAATAGCTTTTAGCTATTCAGCATGAGACATCAATTACAGAGTTCAGGTTTCAGGTAAAAACACTCATTGATATACCTATGAAGCCTAATTGCTGATCTTGTTAGTGAGTATTACAGGATGTTATTTTAAATTTTTGTGTTCATTTTTCCAGTACAAAAGAGACAGATTTATAGCCTTAATTTTTTCCCATTAATATACAGACATAAAGGAAGGGAAAGGGGATGGCGGTGAGTCTATTTATGGACCTGTCTTTGAAGGTAAGAGGGAGTTTCCTCGTGATAGTAAGCTAGAAGCCATTATTAATACAGGTGAGGATATTACCTGAATACAAAATGTACTACAGTAATAGAAATGGCATTAGATTTAACAGCACACAGTCAAGTGCATGGTGGAGTCTAACCACGGGGGAGCCATTTGCTGCCTTCTAGAAACTCATCAGTTGCTGTGACAGTGAATGAGGATTTGGGGTGTTTTCTTACTTAAAGTGTCCTTTAGTCTAATTAGGTCTATGATACAAATAGTAATGTTTGCCAGAATGCTCATTAGCATCTCTGCTCCTTGCTTCCTCTTCCACATACACAATGTTCTGAAATGTAGTCTGCATTTGGTTAGACAGAGCATTTTCTTGTTGGCTTTATTCTCTGACCTACAAGACTCCTCTTCCAACTGGGCTGGTAACACATTTCCTTGGCACTTGCAAAGTCACTGTCTACCCTTGTGGATGGCATGTTTTATATAAGCACAAAATTTGCCCAAGCTGGCTCCCTTTATGCACACCAACCCAGTGCTTAACTGCAGCAGTATGAACAGCAGTTGCTCCTTGGTAAATGCAAGGCAGCTGTTTTCTCAGTCCTGAACAACTGTTCCACATAGTTCCAACATATTTCATCACTCTAGTTTTGAGTTCTTGTTTGCATTTCTGCCTGAACAGCTGTTGAGCAACAGAAGAATCTTGGGTTGTGTTATATTTCTGGACCAGTCTCTGTTGCTGGTCAAAAGGTGGCTCCTCCTAGTCTTTAACCAGAGCTTTCTGGAAGCACTTAGATAAGCTTGTCAACTCACACTCCAAACCCCAACACGCAGTCTGCAATCTTCTGTCCCCAATACAAAGGTTTCATTCACACAATCAGATTAGCAAACTGAAGTAGATGGTGCTCCTGTTAAATGAGCATCAAATTGTGGGAAACTGTCTGGGCACTCAGTAATGGTGGCTCAGCTTCTCCAAAATACTCTGAAACAAAACCTGCAGTCTTTCTGTAACAAACGCATATCCCCACCAAAAATATCCCCTTTACTGCTAGTCTAGGAATTCCGTGCAGCTGCTGCTTTATTCTAAATGCTTCCAGCACATGCATTGCACAGCATGCCTGTAATTTCAGATTATGTCTGCACCTTGGTAATGTTATTCATAATAAGGACATGCAGAGGATACAGCAAACTGTTTAATCACTGACTTAACTGAGTGTCTGCGTGTGTGGTGTGTGCAAGTGACAAGACTCATTTCATCTCAGACAGGTACCATGTGGCTCGTTTGTACAATATCTTCCAAATACATCCATTACTTTAATGTATCTGATTTTTGCAGGGTAACCCTTTACATACCCGTTCAAAGGCTGCAATGATATAAAATACAAGCAGGAATCCCACAAGGACTTGTGGGGGGGGGCATCTCATTTCTCCTACCCTACTATTTCCTCTTTCCTTTCCCTGGCAGCCCTCCATAACTTTTCCACTTTTCCTGCTTTCTTTTCATTTTCACACCCACCAATCAATGTAGCTTTACCAGCCCCGTGTCTTCAGCTTTTCCCCCATTCTCCCCTTCATTATACCCCGCCTTTCTCCCCCGTTGGGACCCAAAGCCAGCTTACATCATTCTCTCCTCCATTTTATCGTCACTGCACTCTATAAGGTAGGTTAGGCTGAGAATGTATGACTGGTGCAAGGTTACCCAGTGAGTATCCGCAGCAGTGTGGTGATTTGAACCTGGGTCTCCCAGGTCCTAGTTTGGCTTTTATGTGGTGCCTAGTATTGAACACTGTGAACAGCCAGTTCAGGGTGAGTCATGTAAGTCATGTAGTATCAAGTTGTCAGTGCTTATCGCCAGGCCTGGGTCTGATGGGTCCTCCCTCAAAGGCCAAAACAACCCTTGAAACGGCCTTGGCTTTTACTGACAGGAACAAGGCCAGCAGTGCTGTTGTGGTTGCCTAGCAATAGCCACTAAGAGAGCACCTGATGGGGTGTTTTGGGGTTGGTTGGTTGGTTTTTTAGATTTCATTTTGTGTGTTCATGGCTCCAGTCACTGGATTTAGGTATCCACAGATGGCATCATTTTGTGAATTAGATATATTGAGAAGAGGGAACCCACAAGGAATTGCAGTGGGCATCTAATTTTTACTCCTCCACTATTTCCACTTTCCCTTCCTTGAAAGCCCCTATAGTCTCTCACCTTTCTTGCTTGTTTCTCTCCTTTCCACCCACTAGCCAACCTACCTTTATCCTGTCCCCTGTCTTCAGCTTTCTTTCTTTCCTTCCCTTCCTCTGACAACTTCTACCAGGGAAAACTACAGCCCAGTTGGATAGTGTTAGCCAAATTGCTTTTGGTTATTAATAAAGATGGGGAATTATAATTATTAATGTGCAATTGGTGTCTAAGGGAGCGAACCCTATGTATACAGAAGTCCCGCCTTTTCTAGTGACCCACAAATAAATGCAGAAGCCAAGTCTCAAGGAGATGGTTTCTTTACTGGGAAATATAATTCAAGCATACAAATTAATTCACATTCACACACACAATTATTTAGTCCTAAGAAATATAGATAGAAAGGGATAGCGACATTCGCATTAGCAGGATAATAGTTGATGGGTGATGCATACCTGTTCTAGGCGGGATGAAGCGATCCATAGAAAAATAAGGGAGACTATGCAGGAATAAGGGTCGTATTCTGAACCAGCAGAACACGTGGTCAACTCTGGCAGCTCTAAAACCAAGAGTCGTGGAGATAGGGTGGGTCTAGAGGTAGAGGAGAGAGACAGCATGGCTGATCATGCTCTTTTATACACTGTGGGGACTTGGGGGTGGCCACTTCCCTTGTCACGTCCCCTTGGTCAGTCCCAGGAAGTTTCCTAATCAAAAAACAGTTTCAGGAGGAAGGAGGCTTAATGGTTGGGCAATATTGGATTCTATTTACTCTTAACAGTGGCACCTTTGAGAACAATAGCTGAGGCAGCCAGAGTCATTGTCATTGATGGTCCACTGATGGCTCCAGGTGATTGGTTTAGCTGGTACATATCAGCCTTTTAATCCCTTCATGGCTGTGGATCCTTTGTCATACTGGATTGCCTACATGCAATGTTAGGTGAAGAAGGGAGGGGAATGTGCCTGTGTGTCAGAGAAGATGCTAGCTCATGGAGTCTCTGTTCAAGATCTCTGGTCTCATGGCTTGGCATGATGTCTGTTTAAACAGCAAACGGTTACTGGCTTTGCTGTGCTTCACATTGCTAGGGAGCTTGGTTCTCTTCCTGCTGTGCTGTGGGTAAGAGATGGCAGATAACCCCAGGAACCATTGGCACATCATCTCAGGAGAATATTTTCCTCTGCTGGGTGTGTGTCTAAAGTTGGCATCAGCTTAGGGTCACCACACAGTCCATTCCCTTTTGCACATTTACTGCACAGTCCAGTTATTATAGAGTTCATAAGTCCAAAGGAGGGCTATAAGCGCCTTGCAGGGCAACAATGGTGCTGGCTGTCAAGCTGTGCCCGCAAAGGCGCGCCCCACCACCCCAGCAAAGAAGCCAGCGGGGAAACTGAAATTTGCCAAGGCGCTGCAGGTTGCCCTGGTGGAAATTGAGGACAAATCCAGCAAGGAAGAGGGAAACGAGCTGGTGGGAAAAGGCCAGGTCCTGCTGTGAGAGGCGCGGAGCAGCAGGGCCCAATCCCGGAGGTGCCAAAAGCAGTGAGCAGCTACCCCCCCTAGTTTTCGTGACTGTGACTCTTATTAACCCGACTATTGGAACTCACATTCACGTTGACTCGGGGTGTGGGAGGGACCTCATCAACCCCTCTTTTGCTGCCATGATGTTTGTGGGCTGGGGATCATTTGCTTGACCTGTGTACCAGCCATTGCTGCATTCCTTCTTTGCTTCTGTAGTACTTCATTATCATTGACCTTGTAGATTGCCTGTGTAGTGTCTGGGGTTGATGAGGTCCCTCCCAATAGTCGGGTTAATAAGAAGTCACAGTCATGAAAAATAGGGGGGGTAGCTGCTCACCGCTTTTGGCGCCTCCGGGATTGGGCCCTGCTGCTCCGCGCCTCTCACAGCAGGACTTGGCCTTTTTCCGCCGGCTCGTTTCCCTCTTCCTCACTGGATTCATCCTCAATTTCTTCCGGGGCAACCTGCAGCGTCTTGGCAGATTTCTACAGCCAACAACTGAGTACACGCTTGTCAGAAAGGTTATACTTTATTGCAGAGCTATAGATGCAGTAACATGGTCAGTGTTAAGAATGGCAACGTTTCTACAAGCACTATGGAATATAGGGTATTCGTACGCCCCCCCCCCATTTACGCAATGGGCCGAGAAAGATGAACTGCATAAGTGGCCGGGGGGGGGGGCAATCCTCCAAGAGGGAGAGGATGGATGAATGCATCCCTTAGCCTACATGTCGAGAAAGTTCAATGACACGGAATGTAACTGGTCGGTGTGGGAGAAAGAGGCGGGGGCAATCCGCCTTGCACTGGCTACCTGGCGGCATTGGCTGGAGGGAGCACGGGTTCCTTTTGAGGTGTGGCCTGATCACAAGAATTTGGAAATGCTAAAAACGCCTTGCAGCCTCAATGCAAAACAGATCCGGTGGGTCGATTTCTTTTCCAAGTTTCAGTTTACGCTTCACCATTTCCCGGGCTGTGCAAACTCCTTCGCTGATGCCCTGTCCCGCCTACCACAACACGATAGCCAAAGGGAGGTAATCTTGGACTCAGTGTTCACACATTCCCACCTTGGCGGGGCGGTGACTGCACGTAGCCAGGCAGGGCCGTCCTCGTCCCCAACGTCACCGACACCCCGACACCCCGATCCCCACTACTGGCTGAAACAGGTGGGAAAACTTGGCACAGTAAATTCACCTCCGCCGTCTCAGAGGGCAACAGGTCGGTGGTGGAGGGAGAAGGGGATTTCGAACTCAGATCCGATGGCTGCTAGTACCGTGGAAACAAGCTATTTGTTCCATTCCCCCTGCGAAGGGAGGGGAAGTACTGCACG